CCGGGCGTGATGGCGGGCACCTATAGTCCCAGCTACTCGGGAGGCTGAGGCAGGAGAATTGCATGAACCCAGGAGGCGGAGGTTGCAGTGAGCCGAGATCATGCCACTGCCCTGCAGCCTGGCCACAGAGTGAGACCCTGTCTCAAAAAAAAAAAAAAGAAAGAAATGTTACTGATTTTTGTATGTTGATTTGTAATTTGACTTCTTCCTTTCTTAATTAGATGCCCTTTATTTCTTTCTCTTGTCTGATTGCTCTAGCTAGGACTTCTGGTACTGTGTTGAATAACAGGATGATAGTGAGCATCCTTGTCCTGTTCCTGATCTTAGAGGAAAGACTTTCAGTTTTTCCTCATTCAGTATGATACTAGCTATGGGTCTTTCGTATGTAACTTTTATTATATTGAGGTATGTTCCTTTTATACCCAGTTGTTTGAGAGTTTTTATATAAATTGTTGAATTTTATCAAATGCTTTTTCAACATCAATTGAAGTGATCATATGGTTTTTGTCCTTTATTCTGTTGATATAATGTGTCACATTAGTTGGTATGAGGATGTTGAACCATCCTTGCATACCTGGGATCAATCCCATTTGGTCATAATAAATGATCTTTTTAATGTGGTGTTAAATTTGGTTTGCAGTATTTTATTGAGGATTTTTGCATCAATATTCATTAGTTATATTGGCCTATACTTATATGTATATATATATTTTTAAGACAGGATCTTACACTGTCACTCAAGCTGGAGTGCAGTAACTTAGTAGAGCCAGGTTTTCACCATGTTGGCCAGGCTGGTCTCAAACTCTTGACATCAAGTGATCCACCTGCCTTGGCCTCCCAAAGTGTTGGGATTACAGGCGTGAGCCACTGTGCCTGGCCTATAGTTTGTTTTGTTTGTTTGTTTGTTTGTTTGTTTTTTCTTTTGATGCATCTTTGTCTCATTTTCGTATCAGGATAATACTTGCCACATAGAATGAGCTTGGAGGTATTCCTTCTTCCTCTATTTTTCAGAATAGTTTGAGTAGGATTGGTATTGGTTCTTCTTTAAATGTTTTATAGAATTTGCTAGTGAAGTCATCGGATCTGGGGCCTTTCTTTATTGGGAGACTTTTTATTATGGCTTCCATCTTGTTACTTGCTATTAGTCTGTTCAGGGTTTGGATTTTTTCATGATTCAATCTTGGTAGATTGTATGTGTCTAGGAATTTATTCATTTCTTCTAGATTTTTCAATTTTTTGGCATATAGTTGCTCATAATAACCAGTAATTCTTTGAATTTCTCTGGTATCAGTTTTGATGTCTCATTTTTCATCTCTGATTTTATTTATTTGGGTCTTCTCTCTTTTTTTCTTAGTCTGGCTAAAGGTTTGTCAATTTATCTTTTTAAAAAACTGGTTTTTGTTTTGTTGCTCTTCTGTATTGTTTTCTTCATTTCAAATTCATTTATTTCTGCTCTGATCCTTATTTATTTATTTATTTATTTATTTATTTAGAGACAGAGTCTCACTCTGTCACCCATGCTGGAGTGTAGTGGCACGATGGCTCACTGCAACCTCCACCTCCTGGGTTCAAGCTATTCTCTTGCCTTAGTCTCCAGAGTAGCTGGTACTACAGGCGTGCACCACCACCCCTGGCTAATTTTTGTATTTTTAGTTGAAATGGGGTTTCACCATGTTGGCCAGGCTTGTCTCAAACTCCTAACCTCAAGTGATCCAACCACGTTGGCCTCCCAAAGTGCTAGGGTTACAGGTGTGAGCCACCACGCCCACCCTGCTCTTATCTTTATTATTTCTTCTACTAATTTTGTGTTTTGTTTGCTCTTCCTTTTCTAGTTCTTTAAGTGGCATTGTTAGGTTGTTTATTTGAAGTTTTTCTCTTTTTTGATGTAGATACTTATGCCTATAAATTTCCCTCTTACTACGGCTTTTGCTGTATCCCATAGGTTTTGGTATGTTGTGTTTCCATTATCATTTGTTTCAATAAATTTTTCAGTTTCCTTCTTGATTTCTTCATTGACCCACTGGTCATTCAGGAACATATTGTTGAATTTCCATGTGTTTGTATAGTTTCCAAAATTTCTTTTGTTACTGATTTCTAGTTTTACTGTGTTCAGAGAAGATGCTTGATATTATTTCAGTTTTTTGAGTATTTTATAGATGTACTTTTTTCATAAATATTTTACTTATATTTATGTTACTTACGTACTTCATACTTTAACAGTTCCACTACTATTTTTGCTCACCTATTCCCCATTGAGAGAATTTAGCTGTTTTTAAACCATTCCAAAGAACATCTTGATACACACTGGATTGTGTTTTATGATGTTTACAATGGCTTCCACCTAGTAGGCTTACAGTATTGTTTGATGAAATAATCTCAAAAATGACTAAGATGGATAGTTGAAATAATCTTTTAGTTGGATACATATTTCCACTTTGCTTTCTGAAAAGACTGAACAGTATTACGGTATTACTAGTAATGTGTTTATAGACCTGTGTCCCCATATTGAATGTGGATTTTTCAGATAATTTATCCTTTTGTTACTCAAAACCACTCAGATTTTTTTACCTTGATGTGAAAAAGTTATTATAGCTTTAATTACATTTTTATTGTGATCTTTTCTAAATTATAAACCTATAATGTCTTGTAATTTAAGTAAAAAAATTTCTTATTAAACTTTTTGGCTATTTGGATTCTAAACACTTGTTGTCTTGTTTTCTCCTTAATTTGGAGCAGTCTGGCTTCTACTACTACCATTTCACGAAAGTATTTCTTACTAAGATAACTGGTCATCTCTTAAATGGCCAATCCCGTAGCAGCACTCAAGACTTTATCTTTCCTCATCTTTCTACTATATTCAGTGTTGTTATTCAGTTCCCCCTTCTTCAAATTTTTTATTTCAATAATGGCCTTCTCTTATATTCTCATTCTCTGATATTCTTCAGGGTGAGGTTCCTCTTTCTACTCCTTGGTTGATCCGCCATGGGCCATCTTTGTTAGTCTTTTACACTGTTTTTCACACTCTTTCTAGACAATATCATTTTTGCTCATGGCCTCAGTTAACTCCAAATGGCTCCCAAATCTGTATGTTCAACTCAGGTTTCTCTGTGCTTTAGATTGAGGTATCTAGCTGTTTGACAAATTTCTAGGCATTTCATTTTCAACAAATGTAAAATCAGATCCCTATATTTCTTTCTTATCCTATTCCTTTTGTCTTACCTTCTCAGTGAATACCAAAATCCTTGTATTCTTTTGCCTTTTCTCAAGATAGTTAGTTCCTCCTCTGTCCCTTTCTATTTCCTCCTCTGTCCTTTTCTATTTCAGGCATATTTAGTAATAATAATAGTAATAATAGCATTCTCTCATCTTCATGCCTGCTCTTGAACATTTTAAATAATATCTTCCATTGTAAAACCAAAGTGATCTGTCTGACATGCTACCTGTATGATCTGTCTAACCATGTTTTCCCTTCTTGCAATCCTTCAGTATCACCCAACACCTTTGGAAGTAAGCTAGTCTCCTGAATGTTTCATCATGACCTAGAGAATTTATGAAAGTCAAACCATGGGCTGGGCGCAGTGGCTCATGCCTGTAATCCCAGCACTTTGTGAGGCTGAGGTGGGTGGATCACCTGAGGTCAGGAGTTCGAGACCACCCTGACCAACATAGTAAAACCCCATCTCTACTAAAAATATAAAAATTAGCCAGTCGTGGTGGTGCGCATCTGTAATCCCAACTACTCAGGGGGCTGAGGCATGAGGATTGGTTGAGCCTGGGAGGCGGAGGTTGCAGTGACCTGAGATTGCACCATTGCACTCCAGGCTGGGCGACAGAGGGAGACTCCATCTCAAGAAAAAAAAAAAAAGAAAAAAAGAAAAAGATAAAAGAAAGTCAAACTGTGGAGTCAGCATTATTTAAGGTTGTCTGAGTTATTCCAGTTTCAGCTTGAGGCTTGCTGATTACAGGGTAATCCCAGCAGACACTTTGTATTCCATACATGGTTGTGCTGATCTCCTTTTCCCCAGTTTCTCTCCAGCCATTCTTCCTCTCATAACATACTCATCATCATACCATTCCTGAATTCACTGCATCTTCTTATTTTTCTGCATACTTTGGACATACTGACCTCTGTCTTGAATCTCCTTTCCACCCATAACCCACAGATGTTTTATTTATTATTCTAGTCTCATTTCAAGTCCAGTGTATTTTAACTCGTCCAGAGTTACTGTTTCTTTGACCAACTATCAGTTTTATATGCATCTATGTACTACTTGGAAGTTTTTATCTGATTGTATTTTATTTGTTTACACTTTTTCCTCCCCACTGGGCTTTAATTCCGTGAGGGCAGGGATCTTGTGTGTGTGTGTGTGTGTGTGTGTGAGGCAGGGTCTCACTCTGTTGCCCAGACTGGAGTGCAGTGGCACGAACACAGCTCACTTCAGCCTCGACCTCCTGGGCTCAAGCAATCTTCCTACCTCATCCCCACAAGTAGCTGGGACTTACAGGTGCTCACCACCATGCCTGACTGATTTTTGTATTTTTGGTAGAGATGGGGTTTCACCATGTTGGCCAGGCTGGTCTCAAACTCCTGAGCTCATACAGTCTGTCTACCTCTGCCTCCCAAAGTGCTGGCATGGGCCACCATGCCCTGCCTGAGTGCAGAGATCTTTTAATACTAATGCTGAGCACAGTCCTTGAGACATAGTCTTCATAAACATGTATTGAAGTGAATTTCAGAGAAATATGCATAACTACATTGGTTCTAAAATATGTGCCCACCCAAACACTGTGTTAGAAGTCATCATTCGAAATTTCAAGCAATACCAAAAATAATCAGAAAAGTAAGCTGCCACTCATGACATTAGGCCACTACTATACTACTACTGCTATAACATGAGACTTTATTTTGTTAATTATACTTTCTAACTGATATGACAACCTAAGGAAAAAAGGCATACATAAGTCACTACTTGGACAATTAATGTACATTTCATTTCTAGGCTGGTGAATCAAAGACTTCTGGAAGTACAGTCACAAGTTGAAGAATTACAAAAATCTTTACAGGATCAAGGCTCAAAAGCAGAAGATGTAAGTTTTAATATGTACCAACCATGGTCCGTCAGTTTCACAATGTTGAGAAATAACTTTTATTTTTTATTTGATGTTTTTTATCAAAATAATTTAGTGTTATATTGGTTATAGAAAAGAAACAGTGTTTTCCTTTTTACTAACATTCCTTATAAAAAGGACCAGATCTGTCTCTTCAGATTAACTCTGCTGGGAATTAGAAATTCATTTCTAGTTACCAACTGAGGAATTAATTGAGGCTTTATGTTTTAAATGTGCTCAACTCAGTGTTCAAAGATGAAGTATAGGGTTTTTCCCCTTTGGTCAAAAAAAATTGCTGGTGGGAATTTGGAATGTTCAAGTAGAAATTTTTAATATAAAAGTGATTTTAAGAAAATACTGCTGTCCCTAGAATTGCATTTTCTCTAAATCTCTGAATCCCTCTTACTCCTTCTGTTCCCCAACACTGGCCCTTTTTTCACATCCCCCAGCACTCTGCATCTCTGTCACAACTCTGCACACTTGCACTAGAATAGTGTAAATGTATCAACCAAGGACTGCCTTTCTTCACACCTGAGTTTTAACCTTCTATCACAGTACTTAGGTAGCACATAGTCGTCTATCTCTGGCAAAAGTGTAAGTCAGATTTTGCAAATCCTTTATGTTCAATGAACAGTAAACAACAGAGCTAAGACTTAAAGAGTGTTCAAAAATAATGTAAAGAGGAGAAAAAACAAAATTTTGGTGATCAGTCTTTGCTTCAACCAGATGTTTTGTTTCTTTCCTGTTACCAGTGTAATTTGCTGTAAACTCTGGCATTTGAGCATAAATGTTTGTTTCCATTGATAGAGTCATTTTGGAGGATTAACTTCAAAACTATAGATGTAGCCAATTCCATTTGGCCTTTTTAACATAAGATATAAAAACAAAAGGAACCAAAGAAAGGGAGTTAAGTATGTTACTTAAAATTTGTGAATACTAGATACAAAAAGCTCATCCATGGCCTAGCTTAATGAGTTTCTCCAGACATCATCTTGTGTATATTGGTAACATGTTCTTCATTCTAACATGAGTGATGTTAGCTCATCCCTTAATCAATGCGTTGGCAGTCCTTGTTAGATTCCCAGATTGATTTCTGATTCCTAAAATTGTCACCAACATTTAAACTTCCGTATGCCCTTATTAAAATTTAAAACATGTTTTTATTCAGAATGCTAAATCACAAAGAGGTGAAACAAAACTACATGAGTGTATTAAAATATTACTAAGCCTAATTAAGTATCTTAGAGATGAACTGAATGGGGCAACATTTCTTAATTCAGTGAAATCACTAGGTCCTTTAAACTGAGATAAATGTAAAATCCATTCTGGTCTCTAAAAGTCTGAGGAGACTTTTATTGATTTGTTATGGGAGTGAGGGAAGGGCATGTGGTACATGGGAAGTAAAAATGGTGAAATATCAGAATCAACTTAAACTTCAGTGTTACAATGATGGCCATTGTGCATGGTTCTCTTACATTAAAACATAAAAGCATTTATTCTTCAAAAGATAATTTGGCATAGCTTGATTAGGTATCACTATGGTAATCAAATCTAATTAAATATGCTGTGGGCCATTACTTTAACAGAACGTATTTCAGAAGTGAGATGCCAGCCGTGTCAAGTACTATTTACATAAACTCGTCCATTTATTTGATTGTCCAGATGCCAATGTCTTACTGTAAACTAAGCAGAACTTTGCTCTGAGCTCTTTTCTATATGTAGAAAAGATTCAGATAGCTGAAACCGTGCCTCCAAATGGCTTAGAGAAATAAATAGTACAGTACAGGATATATGGTTCTTGCCCCAGCAAATATTTTTATGTTTTTGTCTTACTTTTCTCTTTCTCTAACTTAAGAGTGTTGCATCTCGGGAAGGTACAACACATAAAGCAACCTGCCAAAGGAAATGGTCTCCTCTGGAGAAGAACAACATAACTTCTGCCAGCTTCTGTTATCAAAAGCACAGTCCTTTCATGTAATCTTAAGTCAGAGTAGAAGGGGTTGCACATTTTTATTATTATTTTTATGTAATTTGTTTTTAGCATGGAAGCAGAAAAACATTGTTATATCCAGCCATATGGATAATTTGAGCTAGCCACAATATATAAAACTTTAGAGCACAAGACAGGATGAGGAGACAGTAGAAAAAAGAAAAATGTACATTTCTTTTTAAAAAGTGCATATCTTGGGCTGGGCACAGTGGCTCACGCCTGTAATCCTAGCACTTTGGGCGGATCATGAGGTCAGGAGATTGAGACCATCCTGATTAACACGGTGAAACACCGTCTCTACTAAAAATACATAAAAAATTAGCCGGGCATAGTGGTGGGTGCCTGTAGTCCCAGCTACTCAGGAGGCTGAGGCAGGAGAATGGCGTGAACCCGGGTGACAGATCTTGCAGTGAGCAGAGATTGTGCCACTGCACTCCAGCCTGGGCAACAGAGCGAGACTCCATCTCAAAAAAAAAAAAAAAAAAAGTGCATATCTTTTATTTCTGTTCATGAATTACTAAATCGTTCCTTCTCTTGGCTGCTGTGTTTGCTTCATACTAATTTGTCCTCTCTGTCTCTTGGCATGGTTTCTGCTCAAGGCTATTGTAAGTATGGCTTCCTTTTCATTTTTATATAGTGAGCAGTTTCTGGATTTAGACTGCCATCATAGTTGATGGTATGGAAAATTTTATTAAGGTAGTTTTGTACAAAATGAATATCTGGATTACTTGCCTTGTAGGTTTAGGACCTTTACAATTAAGATACTTAAAGGTTATCGAACTCTTAAAGAGTCAACCGACAAGAAGTCTGCTCTTGGTTTTATTCCCCATTCCACTCCTGTTCCATCCCATTATTATAATTAATTCATTTATATAAATTATCTTGATACAGTCTACCCTCCTTCTGCCCCGTGCTTTGGTGGGAACAGTCTTCAGTTTGGAGAGGCACTGCAGCATAGGAAGCATGGAGTTGAAGGCCAGGCATGGACTCTGGGGTCTGGCAGACCTGGGTTTTGGATCTACCACTTGAAAGCTACTAAATGTTCTCCAGCCTGTCCTTCCTCAACTGTAACATGGGGCTATTGTTACACAGGCTGTGAAGTTTACATATGACAGTGTCTATGACACCATTTAGAGCATTGTTTGGCATATTAACCACCCATTTAACCATTTTATTATATATCTTCTCAGAGTTAAAGTTTTGCTAGACTCTAATCAAATCAAGCACAGAATTAAAGTTTCTAAAAAGTATTTACATTTTACCCCTGTGCTAAAGAAGGAATGAGCAGTAATCGAAAGTTAATGGAGTTGGCCGGGTGCAGTGGCTCACACCTGTAATCCCAGCACTTTGGGAGGCCGAGGGTGGGAGGAGGATCACTGAAGCCCACAAGTTAGAGACCAGCTTGGGCAACAAAGTGAGAGACCCTGTTTCTATTTTTTTATTTTTTATAAAATAAAGTTAACAGGGTTATCTTTTTGTATATTTGGAAAGCGGTGATAGAGGACATGTGGATCTACTGAGGTAACTATAGTTAACATATTGAGGAAAGAAGTGAAAGTTGAAGTATTACAGAGCTGTGTTAGAATGGAAATGAATAAAAATTTATGGTAATTATTATCAAAAGAACTTAGTGTGAGGGTTCCTTTTCCCTCATCACTGGCGTTGATTGGACAATTTGTTTTATAAGCCTATATTAATTGGGTTTTGACTGAATTAATTATATAACCATTTATCTCAAAATGTTTCATAAAATTGATTAATAGTATGTACTGTGTAAGTTTAATTATGAAATTTAGTGGTCTTATAGAGAATGTCTTTATTGTTTATTTTTAGGTCAATTTTGATCTCCTGCTTTTCAGGAGCCTTTTTTTTTTTTTTTTTTTTACCCAGTGAAAGCTACATTCTCCTTCACATTCCCATACCATTGCATAAATTATTTGTAACCTGTGCATTTTCATAAGTCACTGATTAAGTCAGACGTATTTATAGAAGCTGACCCAATACTTTATCATGACTCAAGGAAAATAGCAGATAAGTGTCTTAAAGGAAATCTATTATTACTAGGGTCCTGTCTGCCTACCAAATCCAGGAATATTAGGTCTATAATTAAGTGACTTTTTCATTCCTATTTTATTCATCTGCCTGATTATAAATAGAGAATTCATATATATATCCAGGTTGTGGGTATTTCATACTGATTGTCATCCCTTAGGGGGATGTAATTATAATCTAATTACATGTCTCCCTTTATTAAAGAGATTTAAACTGGGGTACATTGTGTGTTTTCAGCTCTTTCACCAAACAAATTACTGAGAGCTCACTCAAAATTCTGACTGTTGTACTTTTAACTTAAAAAAATATTATTTTAGTTAAAATGTGAGGTAATAAACTAACTTTGTTTTTCATTTTTAGTCAGTCCTTCTAAAAAAGAAGCTTGAAGAACATCTGTAAGTATAAAAGCTGTTGAGGCTGATTCTTCTATAGTGGAACAGACGTACTTTGTGTTAGGTAGTTATGGGTGTGTCTAGGCGTTGGCATAGGTGGCCCTTGAAGAGATAGAAAATTATAATATATATTAAGAGAGTCTGAAGGGTCACTCCCGCCCAAGGTTCTTAGGTCAGAATAATGACTACTTTAGAACTGCCTTCTCAAATGAGACTTTAGGGTTTTCTCTCTTTGTGATAATCGTAGTTAGGAGTTTGAGACACTCTAGATCATGGGTCAGACACCTCTTTCTATAAGGGTCAGATAATTGTTTTTTAGGAGTTGAAAGCTGGTCTCTGTCACAGCCACTCAGCTCTGCAGTTGTAGCTTGAAAACAGCCATAGACAATACATCAGTTAATGGTTGTGACCATATTGTAGTAAAACTTTATAGATACAAACAGGCAGCAGGCTGGTTTTGGCCCATGGACTATAGCTTGCCAGCTCTAAAGTATTGCCAGCTTAATCTATTTATTTAAAAAAAAAAAATTTTAAGAGACAGGGTCTTTTAAAAAAGAGACCCTGTCTCTTAAAGACAGAGCAAGACTCCGTCTCAAAAAAAAAGAAAAAAAAAATATATATATACACACACACACACACACAATTTTGTGCAATTTAAAAATTTTTTTTGCTCATAAAAAATATATATACATAAAATTTTGTGCAATTTAAATTTTTTTTTTTTTTTGAGACAGAGTCTTGCTCTGTCCCCAAGGCTGGAGTGCAGTGGTGCGATCTCAGCTCACTGCAAGCTCCACCTCCCGGGTTCACACCATTCTCCTGCCTCAGCCTCCCGAGTAGCTGGGACCACAGGCGCCCGCCACCTCGCCCGGCTAGGTTTTTGGAATTTTCAGTAGAGACGGGGTTTCACCGTGTTAGCCAGGATGGTCTTGATCTCCTGACCTCGTGATCCGCCCGTCTCGGCCTCCCAAAGTGCTGGGATTACAGACGTGAGCCACCGCACCCAGCCTAAGCAATATATTTTTTAGGAATAGCACAAAGACAAAACTATCATGAAAATCATGAGAATGATTCAAATTCTGACTTTGATTACCTCTGGGAAGAGTATAGAGACATGCATGACTTCTAAGTTTTTGGGATGATTTTTATTTATTTTTATTTTTATGTTTTTAAATTTTATTTATTTACTTATTTTTTGAGACGGAATTTCACTCTGTCACCCAGGCTGGACTGCAGTGGCATGATTTCGGCTCACTCTAACCTCTGCCTCCTGGGTTCAAGCAAGTCTCTGCCTCGGCCTCCCGCGTAGCTGGGGTTACAGGCCCCCACCACCATGCCTGGCTTTTTGTAATTTTAGTAGAGACAGAGTTTCACCATGTTGGACAGGCTGGTCTTGAACTCCTGACCTTATGATCCACCTGCCTTGGCTTCCCAAAGTGCTGGTATTACAGATGTGAGCCACTGCACCTGGTCTATTTATTTCTTTATTTTTTTTGAGACAGAGTCTTGCTCTGTCCCCCAGGCTGGAGTGCAGTGGCATGATCTCAGCTCACTGCAAGCTCCGCCTCCCGGGTTCACACCATTCTCCTGCCTCAACCTCCCGAGTAGCTGGGACTACAGGCGCCCACCACCACGCCTGGCTAAGTTTTTGTATTTTTAATGGAGATGGGATTTCACCGTGTTAGCCAGGATGGTCTTGATCTCCTGACGTCATGATCTGCCCACCTTGGCCTCTCAAAGTGCTGGGATTACAGGCCTGAGCCACCGCACCCGGCCTATTTATTTTTTTGAGATGGAGTCTCACTCTGTTGCCCAGGCTGGAGTGCAGTCGTGCAATCTCAGCTCACTGCAACCTCCGCCTCCCAGGTTCAAGCAATTCTCCCACCTTAGCCTCCTGAGTAGCTGGGACTACAGGCACACACCACCATGCCTGGCTAATTTTTTGTATTTTAGTAGAGATGGGGTTTCACCATGTTGCCCAGACTGGTCTCAAACTCCTGAACTCAGGCAGTCTACCCACCTCGGCCTCCCAGAGTGCTAGGATTATAGGCATGAATCACTGTGCCCAGCCAATGTCTATTTTTTAACATGGTAGTGATTCATTGGGCTTAGTTTTATTATTATTTTAACTGTTATATTGTATATGTTCTTTGTCATAGGTCATAAATGCATACAAGTCACATCCTCAAAAAATTTATTGAGAAAGAAAAAGGTTTATTAAAACATATTTCATGCATGGAAAAGATCAGAAAGACATAAAGTGATGTATTTTTTTAATTAGTGATTTTCTATATCTTCCCATTTTTACAGCCTTTTTTCCTAGTTACGTTATATAGTGCCATATTAAATATGATACAGGGAAAATTACACATATTATACAAATACAAGGGGAAAATATCTCACTTTCAGTTAATTATTTAAATACCTTTATATTGGAATATAACATATGAAGTACACTGATCCACCTGCCTTGGCTTCCCAAAGTGCTGGTATTACAGATGTGAGCCACTGCACCTGGTCTATTTATTTCTTTATTTTTTTTGAGACAGAGTCTTGCTCTGTCACCCAGGCTGGAGTGCAGTGGCGCGATCTTGGCTCACTGCAACCTCCGCCTCCCAGGTTCAAGCGATTCTCCCTCCTGTGTAGCTGGGATTACAGGTACCCACCACCATACCTGGCCAATTTTTCTATCTTTAGCAAAGACTGGGTTTTGCCCTGTTGGCCAGGCTGGTCTTGAACTCCTGACCTCAAGTGATCTGCCTGCCAAGGTCTCCCAAACCTAAGTGACCCAGATCAACATATGGAATATGTCCAGTAACCTACCAGGATTCTTTGTTCTTCCTCCCAGTAGATTGACGGCAAAACAAGCCGCACGGCTGATCTGTATCATCTTCCACTCATTTTAACATACCAACAGAATCGCACATTGTTACCCCTTTGACTTTCTGTGTTCAACATTCTGTGAGATCTATTCATGTGGTTGCGTATATCATTAGTTCATTTTTTTATTGATATGTACTATTCTATTTGTTAATTCTTATTTTTAGAACTTCATTTTTTTGCAACAAGATTTTGCATGGTAAAACCTTTGCAAAGTTATTTCAATATTCTTATTCCTAGAAAAAATCTATACCCTCTCTTTATGCAGGTCTATCTAAACTAAATGACTACTTTTTCAAACAGAGGAATATTTTTTACTTATTTTTAAAATATATTAAATTTGTGTTTTGTCTTTTCATATCTGTTTCATATCACTTGCGTGCAATGCAAGTGTAATCCAAATATAAAGAACTTAGATCTTTAATTTGAACTGGAAAAAATTACAGAAACAGTAGTCGGTGATATTTACCTGTTTGTTACAGAGAGAAGCTGCATGAAGCCAATAATGAACTACAGAAGAAGAGAGCCATTATTGAAGATCTCGAGCCAAGATTTAACAACAGCTGTGAGTTTTCCTAATTATGATAGTTTTTAAATGGGCTTGCTGTATACTGCCATAGTGATAGTGAGTTTACATAATTTTTATTTTATTTTATTTGTTTTTTATTTTTATTTTTTTTTTGAGATGGAGTCTCACTGTCGCCCAGGCTGGAGTACAATGGTGCAATCTTGGCTCACTGCGAGCTCTGCCTCCTGGGTTCTTGCCATTCTCCTGCCTCAGCCTCCTGAGTAGCTGGGACTACAAGCGCCCGCCACCACACCCAGCTAATTTTTTATATTTTTAGTAGAGATGGAGTTTCACCGTGTTAGCCAGGATGGTTTTGATCTCTTGACCTCGTGATCCGCTCACCTTGGCCTCCTAAAGTGATGAGATTACAGGCGTGAGCCACTGCGCCCAAACTGTTTATTTATTTTTGAGACAGGGTCTGGCTGTGTTGCCCAGACTGGAGTAAATGGCATGATCACAGCTTACTGCAGTCTTGACCTCCCATGCTCAAGCCATCCTTCTACCTAACCAGTCCCCCAGTAGTTGGGATGCAGGCAAGAGCCACCCTGCCCAGCTAATTTTTATAATTTTTTATAGAGATGGGATTTCGCCATGTTGCCCAGGCTGGTTTTGAACTTCTGGGCTCAAGTCACCTGCCCACCTCAGTCTCCCAAAGTACTGGGATTACAGATGTGAGCAACCACAGCTGGCCTATATTAAATTTTTATTTAAGAAATAGGCTCTATTGGCTGGGTATGGTGGCTCACACCTGTAATTAGCAATTTGGCAGGCCAAGGTAGGAGGATCGCTTGAGCCCAGGAGTTCAAGACCAGCCTGGGGAACACAGCAAGACCCTGTCTCACAAAAAAAGAAAGAAGGCCAGTGCGGTGGCTCACTCCTGTAATCCTAGCACTTTTTGGGGAAGCCGAGGTGGGTGGATTGCCTGAGCTCAGGAGTTTGAGACCAGCCTGGGCGACATGACAAAAGCCTGTCTCTACTAAAAATACAAAAAATTAGCCAGGAGTGGTGGCACACACCTGTAATCCCAGCTACTGGGAAGGCTGAGGCAGGAGAATCGCTTGAGCCCAGGAGACAGAGGTTGGAGTGAGCCGAGATCTCGCCACTGCACTCCAGCGAGACTGTCTCCAAAAAAAAAAAAAAAGAAAGAAAGAAAGAAATAGGCTCTATTTACATATAGGGAGTATATAATCATCTTTATAATGTCTTACTTTCTAATTGTACTTTGAATTTTTCCTTAACTCTGTATTCTAATGAATATTATATGATGTTAAGATATTTTCATAATGTAGTTCCATGTAAGTCATCCAGACTTGTGCTTCCCAAATATTTACTCCTGTGGGTAGCTTGGTTTTGTTAATTCTTTTGTATTAATAAAGAGGTAAGAGGTGAGAGAATAGACTTATTTTTATTGTGGTAAAATATACAAAACACACCATTTTAAGCCATTTTTAGTGTATAGTCCAGTGACGTTGAGGACATTCACACAGCACAACTATTACTTTTACCTACCTACAAAACTGTATCATCTCAAACTGAAGTTCTGTATGCATTAAACAATAACTGTCCCTTCCTCCCTCTCCCCAGCCCCTGGTAACCGCTATTCCATTTTCTGTCTCTGTGAATTTGACTATTCTAGGTCACTCATATAAGTAGAATCATGTAATATTTATCCTTTTGTATCTGGTTTACTTCACTTAACATAATGTCTCCATATCATAGCATGGGTCATAACTAAGCATGTGTTATATCTATGTATTACATTTTGTTTATCCATTCATCCTTCATGGATTCTTTATTTATGTACTTCCATACTGGAGTTCTTATTTATTTATAAGAAAACATTTTTGTTAAAAAAAAAAAATCTGAATTTTTTAAAAATAAAATTATGTGTAAAAATAGACCAGTCTCTCAAAGCTGTTAACTATTTGTTATTAGTCAATTAAAATATTTTTGAAATTGTTGTAATCTAAAATAAATGTATTTATATTATAACTATATATATTATAATCTGTATATATTTTACTATGTTTCATCTGCAGCCTTAAAAATTGAAGAATTACAGGAAGCTTTACGAAAGAAAGAGGAAGAAATGAAGCAAATGGAAGAACGATATAAAAAATACTTAGAGAAAGCCAAAAGTGTAAGTATGAATTTTGTAGGCATCTCACTCTACCTTCTGATCACATTTCAGTGAAATCTCAAATATAATGGATGGACACTACAGCAACTTCTTATGCAGAAAACTCTCAGGAGAAGAACATATCTTATAACAAAAAGAACCTGAGCAAGCAGCAGTGGTCAAAATAGGTCATTGCATGGATTACTTACTAATTACCAAGAAGAAAATGTACTTTGTGTGGGAAATGAGTGGCACTTGCCACCTTATTAGTCATCAAAATTAACAACACCAATTAGTGATAGGACAGCTGATATCCTGTGCCTTCTGATGGAGTATTGTTGTAAATAATAATTAACCTGAATTTAAGCAACCTTCTATTTCCAGTTCACAGGCAAAATAAGGTTTATTGGAACAAGCTAAATAACACATTCAGGAAACCATCAGGTAAATCCAAAATTTGGAATGGAAGTCACTGTCATGAAAACAAGAACAGGCCATGGATTGTGGGAGAGCACAGGACCCATTCTAATTGAAAAGAGCCCCCTTCTAGTTGCCGAATCAAGACATTCACCTCTGAGTCCTGGATTGAGGGTTAAGGGGGTCAGTTTTCTTACAGATAATGGTTTGTGATTATGTAGGTTAATATTCTTAATCTAAGGAGATTTGTGCTCAAGTATTTAAAGGTTCTGCGTTATGAGACCTGAATAACTTATTTGGGAGACTTTAAAATAGCCTCCCAAATAAGTAACAGCATGTGTGTGTGGAGAGAAATCAAATATGGCAACGAAGCAATTGGTGAGTCTAGGTTAAGGGAAAATGGGTTTTTTTCTTCCCTTTCAAGTTTTCTATGGGCTTGAACATTTTGATAGTAAAAATATTAGGGGAGCTGGGCACAGTGGCTCACGTCTGTAATCCTGTCACTGTAGGAGGTCAAGGCTGGAGGATTGCTTTAGCCCAGGAGTTTCAAGTCAGTCTAGGCAACATACCCAGACTCCGTCTCTACAAAAAAATGTTTTAAAAAATTAGCTGGTCATGGTGGCATGCACCTGTAATCCTAGCTGTTCAGAAGGCTGGGGCAGGAAAATCACTTGAGCCCAGTGGTTCAAGGCTGCAGTGGGCTATGATCACATCACTGCACTCCGGCCTGGGTGACAGAGCAAGGCCCTGTCTTTAAAAATAAAATAAAACTAAATGAAAATATTGGGTGGAGAAGTAAAAAGACCTTTCCCAGCAGTCCTCTAGTTGGCCAGCCACAATCACATCCAATATCCATGCCCAAACAGGATTGCCGGCAGAGAAAGAAATGGGACCACAGTGATAGGCTTACACACCAGTCAGGACCCTCTCCCCCAAAGTGCCTATCTGATTAGAGGCAGAAGGCTAGCAGACCAGATCAGAGGAAAGGAAAAGAGTAGACCACTGTCAGTAGTGTCTTCTTTACAGACACACGTCATTTAACAACAGGGACACATTCTGAGAAATGCATCCTTAGGCGATTTTGTCATTGTGCTAACATTGTAGAGTGTACTTATGCAAACCTGTATGCTATAGCTTAGTACACAACTAGGCTATATGGTATGGAGTATTGCTTCTGTACTGAATAGTATAAGGAAATACTTACACAATGGTAAGTTATTTTTGTGATAGGACTTTTTCAGCTCCTTTATAATGTTATGGGACCACCATCATATATGTGGTTCATCACTGACTGAAACATCATTATGTGGTACATGACTGCTTTTATTAATTTTAAGCCAGAATTACTTCTTATAATTGGTTCTTTATATAAGTAAAATTTTTATGTTTGCACAAATATTATGTACCCATAACAAATTTTTACTTTAAGTTACAACAATTAATACTATTTTATACATTTACTTTTTATTTTTTTTAGACAGATTCTTGCTCTGTTGCCCGGGCCAGAGCGCAGTGACCTGATCTCAGCTCATTGCAGCCTCAGCCTCCCAGGCTCAAGTTATCCTCCTGCCTCAGCCTCCTTAGTAGCTGGGACTATAGGGGTGCACCACCACACCCAGCTAATTTTTAAACACTTTTTATAGAGACAGTTCTTACTATGTTGCCTGGGCTTGTCTCAAAGTCCTGAACTAAAGTGATCTACCTGCCTCAGCCTCCCAAAGTGCTGTCATTACAGGCATGAGCCACCACTCCAGGCCACATTTACTTTTTAAAATACCCTTGTAAGATAACCTTTGATTTTTCATAAGTTTATCCTTTTATTTTAAAAAAATAGTCATTCTTTTCTTAAACGTTACATTCTTTAAGTTTGAGACTTTTTGAATTTTTCTTTTATTATTTTTTACAGGTTATTCGTACTTTAGATCCTAAACAGAATCAAGGAGCAGCACCAGAAATCCAAGCTCTTAAAAATCAGCTCCAGGAACGAGACCGACTGTTCCACTCATTAGAGGTAATTTACTCTACTGTACAATAAAATAATTGTGTTTTGATTTTAATGTTCTGGGAGCCTTGTTATATTTTACAATTGTGTCCCTGGGTTTTAACAATTAACTTAAGTATTTTATTTATATCGAGTTATTTTATATCTTTACATATTTACATGTGCTTTTTTTTAGAAAGAATATGAGAAAACAAAGAGTCAAAGAGAGATGGAAGAGAAATATATTGTTAGTGCCTGGTACAATATGGTAAGAAAATAGTACTTTGGAGCATAATGAAAAGTTCAATGAATATGTAATACTTATTATATTCCCTTTACTGTAGAAGTCACTCTACCAAATGAATCTGAAAGTAATTGCTATCCTAATATACACTAACAGAATCTTAATGCTATTTCTGAACTGAAAAGCAAATATGAGAACCACTGTAAACAGGGTTAGAGCATTTTGAAAACATTATTTCTAGAGGATAGAAAGATAAATGTCAGTCTAATTTCTGTCCCTCAGAGACTTTATTGTAAGGGAAGGGACATTAATACTATCTAAACACAGATGCAATAGTTTTTGTTTTGTGGGATTATTTCAGTGTCTTTGCAGGATGATATTTGATTAAGGGTAGTTTATCTCATGGGGTTTGGAAAATGTTCACATTGTCAGACCCTGAACCACTGCAGATTTTGAAATTGAATATCCCAACACAAAAACTAATGCTCATGAGCATCCTGGTTGGGATGTGAATACTTATGGATTTTAAAGAGTGCTGCACTTCTTTCAGTATTTTTCCAAGACTTTCTGTCTTCCTTTTGTTTTTTGTTCTTCCCAATAAGACCACTTCTGCCTTTAAAAAATGTTAGTTGGCTGGGTGTGATGGCTCACTCCTGTAATCCCAGCATTTTGGGAGGCCAGGCGGGCAGATCACGAGGTCAGAAGTTTGAGACCAGCCTGGACAACGTGGTGAAACCCCATCTCTACTAAAAATACAAAAATTAGCTGGGCATGGTGGCACATGCCTATAATCCCAGCTACTTGGGAGGCTGAGGGAGGAGAATCGCTTGAACTTGGGAAGCAGAGGTTGCTATGAGCCAAGATTGTGCCATTGCACTCCAGCCTGGGTAACACAGCAAGACTCTGTCTCATTTTAAAAAAAAAAAAAAAAAGTTGTCTGACACAAGAAATGGGACCAGATTCCATTTATTTATTTATTTACTTATTTATTTATTTATTTTTGAGATAGAGTCTCACTCTGTACCCTAGGCTGGAGTGCAGTGGTGTGATCTCAGCTCACTGCAACCTCCACCTCCCGAGTTCAAACGATTCTTCTGCCTCAGCCTCCCAAGTAGCTGGGACTACAGATGCCTGCCACCACGCCCGAATAATTTTTGTATTTTTGGTAGAGACGGGGTTTCACCATGTTGGCCAGGCTGGTCTCTAACTCCTGACCTTGTGATCCACCTGCCTCAGCCTCCCAAAATGCTGGGATTACAGGCGTGAGCCACTGCGCCCAGTTTCCCCCTCCCCAGATTCCTTTTAACATCCCCTGTGACCCTGTAGCTCTGTTACTGGCACAGTACCATTGTTTTTGTTTTACAGTTATAATTGATACTGCCTCTTAAAGGTTAGTGTCCCTGGCCTCTGAACACTGTGATTTGATCTTTGTCAAAAATTCATTAAATTTCATTATATATTATTTTCCCATCTGTATTTGCCTTGGTCAAAACTGCATATCTGTGGCTGGGTGCAGTGGCTAATGCCTGTAATCCTGACACTTTGGGAGTCTGAGGCAGGCAGATCGCCTGAGGTCAGGAATTTGAGACCAACCTGGCCACAACATGGTGAAACCCCGTCTGTACTAAAAATACAAAAATTAACCAGGCATGGTGGCACGCACCTCTAGTCCCAGCTACTCAGGAGGCTGAGGGGAAGTTGGGATTGCACCACTTTACTCCAGCCTGGGTGACAGACTAAGACCCTGTCTCAAAAAAAACAAAAACTAAAAAACAAAAACTGCATATCAAAGATTTTATTGCAATTTAAAAACCAAAGAGGAAATCATATCAGAGTTAGAATACTATTATTGACAAATATAGGTCATGCACGGTGGCTCATACCTGTAATCCCAACACTTTGGGAGGCCAAGGTGGGCGGGTCACCTAAGGTCAGGAGTTGGAGACAAGCCTGGCCAACATGGTGAAACCTCATCTCTACTAAAAATACAGAAATTAGCAGGGTGTGGTGGTGGGTGCCTGTAATCCCAGCTACTCCGGAGGCTGAGGCAGGAGAATCCGGGAGGCGGCAGTTGCAGTGAACCAAGATCACCCCACTGCCCTCCAGCCTTGACGACAGAGCGAGACTCCATCTCAGAAAACAAACAGATACAGATTTCTTGAAAATTAAAATTCAAAAAATAGAAAAAATAAAACTATATATTTAAGGACATTCTCTGGGAATTAGTCCTGACTTTTAAACTATTTTGTCTCTTCCCTGTCCTCCTGGAACCTTAGTGTTAGCAATCTAGGAGCTCTGCATTTCAGGCCTTATTAATAATTTCATATTACTATTACTATGTTTTGAGACAGGGTCTCACTCTGTCGCCCAGGCTGGAGTGCAGTGGTACAATCTTGGCTCACTGCAACCTCTGCTTCCCGTGTTCAAGCAAGTCTCTGCCTTAGCCTCCTGAGTAGCTGGGATTACAAGTGACTGCCACCACGCCCAGCTAATTTTTATATTTTTAGTAGAGACAGGGTTTTACCATCTTGGCCAGGCTGTTCTTGAATTCCTGACCTTGTGATTCACCCGTCTCAACCTCCCAAAAGTGCTGAATTACAGGCATGAGCCACCCCGCCGAGCCCAGTAGTTTCATATTCTGGATTGATTTTTATGACTTCACATATTGTGTTTCTTATGGAACCAGATTGATTTATTCTGTGAAGTGATACTAAAGAATAGTCCTAAATTTTTTTTTTTTTTTTGAATGAAGTCTCGCTCTGTCGCCCAGGCTGGAGTGCAGTGGCATGATCTCGGCTCACTGTAAGCTCCGCTTCCCAGGTTCATGCCATTCTCTTGCCTCAGCCTCCGGAGTAGCTGGGACTACAGGCGCCCACCACCACGCCTGGCTAATTTTTGGTATTTTGTTTAGTAGAAACGGGATTTCACTGTGTTAGCCATGATGGTCTCGATCTCCTGACTTCATGATCCACCCTCCTCAGCCTCCTAAAGTGCTGGGATTACAGGCGTGAGCCACCACACCCGGCCAGAATAGTCTTAATTTTTAACTTAGAGAGTGAAGGAATAAATCCAAATAGACTCCCAGAAGTTACGTTCAGATAAGTAAACCATCATGCTTACATTCAGAAAGTTCTGCATCTCAGGTAACTTTAAATGGAAATGGAAATGATGAGTGCAGGGAAGAGATATTAAGTAGCTCAGGGAATGCCCTTGCAATAGATTGAGGTCTTTAACCTGTGTGAAGAATTTGGATAAATTGCTTGAAATGTGAAAGTGGAAAAATTAGAATATTTAAATAAAATATAAATTTTAATATATGTAGCCAAATGTATAAGTTAAAGATTACCAATAAATATTTGTCAATTTTATTCAAAACTTTAAGTGCTCTGATTTCAAGTTGAGTTTAAAAACATGTTTTAGATTTTTCTTATTTGGAAAATATTATGTATTTGGATCGATAGGATAGACTGAAATTGTATTAAAAATGCAAAGCTGAGGTTGGGCGCATGGGCTCACGCCTGCAATTCCAGTACTTTGAGTCGCCAAGGTGGGAGGATCTTTTGAACCCAGGAGTTCGAGACCAGCCTGGGCAACATGGCAAGACTCCGTCTAAAAAAAAAAATGAAAAAAGATAAAATAATGCAAAGCCATGACCTGTGTTTTCCCTAGAAACTAGCTAGTGATGTATCTTCCAGCCTTCTATCTTCTGCACATCCTTCACTGCATCCCGTAGTTTGACTTTTCCCCCTGGCTCTCCTTTTGCCTCTTGATTGCTTTTTTCTTCCTTGCTGCCAGCTTCTACTTATGCCCAGCAGTTTACTTGCATTCAGTCATTAGTGAGATTAAACAACAGCTCTTTCATTTTTGTTGTTGTTACCGTTTTTGAGCCAAAGTCTTGCACTGTTCCCATGCTACAGTACGGTGGTGTAATCACGGCTCACTGCAGCCTCAACCTCCTGGGCTCAAGCAATCCTCCCACCTCAGCCTTCCAAGTAGTTGGGACTATGGGCATGCCATCATGCCCAGCTAATTTTTTTTTTTATTATTTTAGAGAGGGGGTTTCTCACTATTTTGCTAAGGCTGGTCTTGAGCTTCTAGCCTCAAGTGATCTTCCCAGCTTAGCCTCCCAAAGTGCTGGGGTTACAGGCATGAGCCACTACCCTGGCCATCTCTCAGTTCTTAATGTTTCTCTGGCTAGGATTCTTCATTGTCTTATTAAATGAGTACCAAAAAACTGCTTTTTTCCTGATCTACTCATAGACTTCTGCCTTTAGTAAGTAGTGTTATTATCATATTCTTGTCATTCCTCCACAGTCAGGGAGTGCCCTGCAGGTTTTCTTCCTCCTGTTAAAGTGCTCTAGGTCCAGCAGTTGCCTCCTCTCCCTTCTAAGCTAGTAGGCGATCCTTCTCCTATCTTCAAGAAAGACCCCCTTCTCTCGTTTGGGCCCTCTGTTGTGGACTGTAAGGAAGTTTTCTTAATTTGTTTGAGAATACAAGTCTGCCTTGAAGTGAAGAAAAACAGCATGGTGGTATGTACAGTACCTAGTGTGGCTTTCCACCTAAAGAAACAACACAAGCATTTGTGTTTTTCATTCTAAATAAACCCTGTGATTTCCACCACCGGAGTGAATCAACTGCTACCAATCATGCTCTTTTCCTTGGAAAAAAATCACTTTCTACATTTAATTTGAAAGGAAGTATGATTGAGTGTGGGTAATGTCTGTCTCTATCATCTCCTGTATTGTTTGTTGTAAAATCAGACAATTAAGCCTGAATTTTTCCAAAAGAAAATTTGTGCCTAACTGTGGGAACTAAAATGCCTCTATGAGATTTTAATCTATAGTGAGTAGTATTAACATTCCTAATTGTGCTTTATGATACAGTGTAACAAATTCTGCATGATGAAATTTTATTTTGTGAAAGTATGTTCCACTATTTTTTCATTGATTCCTTTTTTTATTTTAATGTTGCAGGGAATGACTCTGCATAAAAAGGCAGCTGAAGACAGACTGGCAAGCACAGGCTCAGGGCAGTCGTTTCTGGCAAGGCAGAGGCAAGCGACCAGCAGCAGAAGATCGTACCCAGGCCACGTGCAGCCGGCCACAGCAAGGTAGAGAAGTTCTGCTGCTCAAACACAGACACCTGCACCCACAGCATACTTCTGTTACACACAACAACATTTCAGGAAACTCAGCCAGCTTACTTTTTGTTTCTCTTCTGTGTCAATACTTAGTGTTTCTCATTTTGAGGACTTTTTCTCTCTCCCGTATCTTTGTTTTAGTTTGTTTGGTTTTTATTTTGTAGTCCTTTCAGTTCTTTTTAATGTGCCAAAAATTTGTACATGTTCGATTAAAAATGTTGTATAATAGTGTAATACTTTTCTTTGTATGAAAATGTCCTCTTCCTCAAAGGTGTAGGATTTGTAATAAATTAGATTTTCTGCCAATAATTGATAATACAATTTATATTCTTTATTGTGCCTGTGTGTTACCATGCTTTATAAGAATGTCTTTGTTTAAAGGGAATTAATCTTTTTATGATGTATTAATCTGTGTTTTCAATTGTTTTCCAAGTACAGTTCAAATAACTTGCATATTTACTATACAAAATGGTTGACAAGTGTTCTTTTTGCAAAGACATAAATACATTGGCAGAGGTGCTAATCACATCTTCCCTAAGGCACCTGGTAGAATTATTTGAGGAAAAAACGAGTTTTCACATTGTTTTATAGGAAATTAAATTTGTCCAAAGATTTGGAGACTATTTTTAAAACATAAATACATAAAATTTCATTATTTCCTGCTATCTTGTTTGCTGGCAGAAGTGAATGTATTGGTGAGGTTATTTTGGGATAAATTACAAAAGAAAAAAAATCAGGCACTGCATTAATTTCTTGTTGTTGTTTTGGAATATCTTAGTAACTGAGGATCATTTTCTAGCAATGTGGTTGACATACCTTCAGTTGCTCTCCACATCTAAAAGAGTTTTCTTTCATATATGTACAAGTTATTGGTAGTCTTATTTTTGGGCTGTTTGTTGACTTATGCCCCATGTGTTTTACTTATTCTTTAATATAAACCCTTCCATTTTTTAATAATTCCTAACACTTGACATCTTAATATCAGTCATTAACATTAGTAACTTCTTGTATGTTATATTATGACAGATCTCTTTACGTTTTTTCTCACATCTATCTGCTAGTCCAGGAATTTGTTACTAAATAGATTTTCTTTGGTATTTGGTTGCCTCAAAGTGCTTACATTTGTTAACAGATTGTAAACCACATTTATTTACATCGATGAATGGGCTGTCGAGTAATCATTGTAAAGCACTTTGTATATATAAGGTGCTATGTAAGTGCGAAATATTCATTTAAAAATGAAATGCCTTCTAACTTTCCATATTGACTTATGTATTTGGTCCCAAATTATATTTAAGTCTTTTTTCTTGCAACATAGCCCATTTTTTTAAAGCAAAAAGTTTCTGAAATTAGGTCATGGTATTTTTTGTTTATTTTTAGATAGGTTACTTAATATAGGAGGATGTTTTCTCATGTACTTGCTATTTGGAAGTTCAGGTTTCATTTAGTTCTTTATGTTAAATACAAGTAACCTCAAATCAAGTTAAATGTAATTAAGAATTTTCAGAAACTATATTCAACTGTTTGATTTTTAAATTCTTTCTTACTTTTTAATAAGAAAGATGACCCAAAAATCAGTAGTATTTGTTTGTCCTCAGAAGCCGTAGTTGAAGAAAGATTTGAGTATACACAGAAGTGGAGCCATACATTATGGCTAATTTTTTACGTTAAGTGCAGAAGTCTGAACACAGCATGATTGCTTCTGCCTGACGAGACCACAAGCAGCAAGAGTTAGGGATAAACGGAGGTAGCCATGAGTAGAACTGCTGTAGGGCTTCAGGAGGCTACGCAGACCTGATCAACTGGAAAGTTTCCAAAGTAAAAGATTAAAAACTTTCAGACTGTTCTTACCCCTACCTGTATTTCACAAATAGCCTGAGGATCCAACTAATTTTAAGGCAAATTGGGACCAGACATGGTGCCTCAAGCCTGTAATCCCACTATTTGGGAGACCTAGGCGGGAGTGGATCACTTGAGGTCAGGAGTGTGAGACCAGCCTGTCCAACATGGTGAAACCCCATCTCTACTAAATTACAAAAATTAGCTGGGCGTGGTGGCACGTGCCTGTAATCCCAGCTACTTGGGAAGCTGAGGCAGGAGAGTCACTTGAACGTGGGAGCCAGAGACTGCAGTGAGCTGAGATCGCACCACTGCACTCTAGCCTGGGCGACAGAATGAGACTCCGTCTCAATCAATCAATCAATCAATCAATAAAGCAAATTGGGATGTGAGCACTAACCTTGGTAAGTTAAAATTTTGGGAAAATTGTACCTGCAGAATATGATGGATGAAAACAAGAGCCAGGTGCAGTGTCTCATGCCTGTAATCTCAGCATCTTGGGAGGCCAAGACGGGCGCATCACCTGAGGTCAGGATTTCCAGACCAGCCTGTCCAACATGGTGAAACTCTGTCCCTACTAAAAATACAAAAAAGTAGCCAGGTGTGGTGTGTGCCTGTAGTCCCAGCTACTTGGGAGGGTGAGGCAGGAGAATTGCTTGAACCTGGGAGACGGAGGTTGCAGTGAAACAAGATGGCGCCATTGCACCCCAGCCTGGTGACAAGAGCCAAACTCCGTCTCAAGAAAAAAAAAAAAAAAAAAAAAAAGTCTGTGAACTACTCACTGAATGAATTTTGTTCTGTGAGATAGGAGGTTTTCATTTTCATTTTCTATTTACAGGCCCAGTCCTAATCTCCTACCCATCCACCTACCCAGATATTTTTTTCTCTAACTGGGTTGGAAAGGTGCCAGGCCTTTAGAGGGGAGTTTTACTTCTGAATTCCCCACCCCACTCCCTCGAAAACGGGCCTGCTCCTCACCCAGGGCTGTAGTGCCATGGCGCGATCTCGGCTCACCGCAGCCTCTGCCTCACGGTTCAAGCAATTCTCCTGGCTCAGTCTCCGGAGTTAGTTGGATTACAGGTGCCTACCACCATGACGCCGGCTAATTTTTGTAGATTTAAGGTAAAAGGATGGTGTTCCACCATGTTGCCATGGCCGGGTCTTCCTGTGACTCTACCCACCCTTGGGGCCTTCCCAAAGTGCTGGAGATTCAAGGCACGAGGCCACGCGGGCCCAGTCGTACTTCTCGACTATTTCATTCAGCATCTATTGGTTGCTCATGCTATTATTTGAGTGTTAACGTTTATAATTTTCTTATCTTTTTTTTTTTTGAGGACTAAGTCTCGGCTCTGGTCGCCCCAGGCTGGAGGCGCAGTGGTGCCATCTCCGCTTACTGCAAGCTCCACCTTCCTGGGTTCAGCACCATTCTCTGCCTCAGCCTCCTGAGCCTAACTGGGGACTACAGGCCCACCACACCGGCTAATTTTTTTGTATTTTTAGTAGAGACAGGGTTTCACCATGTATGCCAGGATGGTCTCGATCTCGTGACCTCGTGATTCCACCCGGCCTCAGCCTCCCAAAGTGCTGGGCGATTACAGGCATGGAGCCACCGCACCCTCGCCCAGCCCCTACATTTT